TTTTTTTTTATCGATAAGCTTTTTTTCTATATCGCCCAGCCCTAATGGTAACGGTAAAAATCGCCCAGCCCTACAACATATACATTTGTGGTAGCCATTTATAGCAGCTAACCCAGTTTTGTGAGCTGTGCTTATTGCACAGGGTGTTATGAAGATGAAAATACATTTTGGATATATTATGCAGCTATAGCCTTACTAACGCCAAGAGAATATAGACCAAATCGTTCTCTCATAAACTGATTTATGGAGTCTTATGAGGCAGCTGCGGTAAATAAAGGAAAGCTCATTTTACATGTCATATTACTGTAAAGGCATATATGTGAAAGACAGAAAAGTCTTTAGCTTTTAAATTTGTTATCTACCTTTAATGGTGATCATTGAAAATGCCCTGAACTGGAATTAATACATTACTACAGCTGTTTGACTTGCAGTATTTTTTCTCTATTTTCCGCTTCAGCATAGCAGATATAGCTTTATTTCAACTTTGTTGACTAAAATAACTGATATATGTTTTACTTTTTATGGTTTTGTAGTGGAAGTATTAGCATTGCACATAACAGTACAGAGTTAAGAAAGGAAGAAAAAGCAATTTACAGACTGGAAAAATTAGATGCAATGTACAGATGACGTAAGAGCATGATAAAATAGCCCTTTACACATTATAACTTTATTAAACCTCATGAACTGAAAGGAAAACATTTGTTCTTTTGTTTAACATGTCAGTTGCTGATGAGAGTCTATCAGACATATTGGCTGATTTCAATCTTTGGCCAACTGATTTCTGAAATTTAACATACATAGTGTAACATACATAATTTTCTTCTAAAACTACATTGCTATTGAAAGTAAAAAGTGCCAGGGGATATTTTCTTTCATCAGGAGCCATAGAAGGTGAGATGTGTGTGACAAGAGCTACAATAAATGAAATAATAAAACTTGTGTAAAGGACTAGAACTTGAATTTATTAAAATCTATAAAGTACTTTCTTAAAAGGTGTAAAAGGCCTTAGATGAGCTGCTCAAACTGGGAAAAAAAAAAAAAAAAATATGTAACTTTTACTATACAGAAATTCAGTTTTTGAATGTAGATTAATACTTGCACACCACCTCATTTCAAGAAATAGTTACAGATGTAAGTCAAGTCATGTCTTCTTATTGACAACATGTGTTTTTATAATTATTATTATTTGCATATTCTCAGTAATTGTATGAATATCTCTATTATAATAACTCAGCCGTAGAGGTAGATGTTGGAATGCTGGAGTACAAGGTGGAAGTTATAAACAAAACTTCCAAAGTGTGTTTGGGGGTGGGGCATAATGAAATGGACAGAGAAGACAAGAAGGGGGAGGGGTGTTGAAGGTGTAACTCACAGAAGGAGGGAGAGGAAGAAACTCGAGCTATTGATGGGGAGAGGGGAGGGGTGGAATGAGCGTAGGAGAGAGGGAGGGTGTGTGGGCAGAGGCTCGCTGAATGAGGAAGCGGTAGAGCCATTTTTACTGTTGAGTAACTGCATGCTGGTCTAGCAGTGAGAGAGAGAGCCTGAACATGAGGTAGTGGAATAAAATACGACCTCAGGATCTTTCTGGAGTACTCTTTCGGATCTTATTTTCTGCTTTTCTTCTTTATACACATCTTGCTTTTTGGATGTGTCCACTCTTTTGGGGGAGGCCCCAGAGAGGACACACAATGGAGCGAAGAGCCTGTAGCAACTGGGCTGTTGTACTGCCGAGAGGGGGATGGGGTAGAGAGAGGACCGGTTCACACAGCTAACAGAGCCTGCTGGCTGTAGGTTTCCAACAGCCTCTCCTTCCTGCCTGGCCATACTGTTTCCAGTCTGGGCTTCTTTCCTGGAGCAACCATTTTTACCTCTTACACACTTCCTGGTCTACATAAAGGATTACACACCATGTTTTTTGGGACTTGAGAACAAATCCCTTAGCTTGAGGAATGAATGGGTTTGGAATAACCGAGAAGAAAAAGTAACTTCTCACTAGTTCGTCTGTGGTGGTTTTTTTTTTTTGGTTTCTGTTTCTGTTTGGTGGAACTGATATCTGACAAGATGCATTCCAAGTCAAATGATTTACTGGATTTTCAAAAACTGGACGCCCTGCTGGAAAAAATTGCACATTCAGTCTCTGTGAAAAGGTAATGTTATGTGGCTGAGACTCACCAGAAAACATTTCAGATATGTTAAAAACTGATCATAACTGAGCCAAAATATTCTAACTGATGATACTTAAAATACTTAAAATAGGGGATACGCTATTCTTTGGAATAATGGGTAGAGGACGGTATTTTGTAATGTATTATATGAACGTGGATCTTAAGCTGAAAGTGGCTTAATCAAAACTTAAAGCCAAAAGCCTACCTCCTGCTTAAGGTTGTTGGTGGTAGTGGTGGGTGAATGGGTTCAGAAGGAGTTGAATTGTGTATGGAAATAGTAGAAATCTATTTCTGCTTCATTAAAGGGTTTGGCTTTCTTATCCTAACCTGCTGGGAATTGAATTATAAAGAGGGAACATGAGTCTTGCCTTTTCCTGTTCGTTCTATGACTCATGTTTTGCTTATTTGAGTTGCTGTGACCTCATGGAGTAACACATAAGTGCTTGTAGGCAACACAAGGGGAATTTCTTTCATGTTCACAACAAATACCTTATTTCTTTTTAGATAAAATTATGTTAATATAAAAACACCCAAAGGCACGATACAGGAGATAATACTTGTATTATTCTGCAGGATGGTTAAAAACTGTAATCACTATTAAGATTTTTTTTAAGTGGAATCGTAAAATTAGACATACAATTATCAGAGATTTTGTGGCCAATATTCAGTCACTGTTTTATTTAAGCTCCAAACAGAGGATAAATATATTGGGTTATTGTGATATACTTTTTAAAAGTGAGTTACAAAAAATTTAATTTTTATTTCTTAATGGGTGGAAATTTAATGGTTATAAGTGATGTGTGGTAAAACAAAACAATCCAAAACAACAGTGAGATCCCCAGGGTAATGAAACTTTGTAATAATACAGATCAAATCCAGCTAAAACGAGTTCTGTCGTGTATTCTTCATTCAATTGCAAGACAGATTAAAGCTCATAGTTTCATTATTTTTGTATGAATTTCCTAAGCACCCTCTGTTGTGCCCCACTGTTTAGTATTAGTATTAAAATCCGATACAGTGCCACACTGTTTTATAAGAGATTAATGTATGATACAGATTTTAACTATCGTTAAAGAAATCACATAATTACATAATTTACGTTTATGTCTGAGAGACATAATTTAACATATTACTATGCATTTAGCTGAATCAGAATCACAAACATCAGTATCTGTGTATTAAATGTGGAGTTGGGCCTAAACTTCAGTGCGAGTATTCTGAATAACTTCCTAAGCCAAATCAAGTGTCATTAAAATTTGGAGTGTAAGAAAGAAATGTGTTGGTCAAATATTGGAATATTTCTTCTAAATATAGTATAACTCTTGGACCTCCAGCCAATAGTTGGCAGCACACTGCCCTAGACCCTATTACTCAGCTCATCAGCACAAGCTGCGGGAGATAAACATCTAGATCTCATGAAGTTTTTCAGAGCCTAATATTATACAAATTGCAACGTATCATCTTTGTAATGACTTGGGATAAATCGTATCATTACACGTATCATGATCTGTATCACTATTCTTGCCCATTCACAACCCTATAATTAATAGGCAAAATAAAAATGGAGCATCTTTACCTCAATACTTGTATTTTCCTCTGTTTTACAGTTGGGCTTGTGATATTAAAAATCATAAGGGTTTAGGACGAGTCTCAGTTACAGTTTGATGCTGTAGATGGGGAGAAGAGGATACTGAAAGGAGACAGTAGCAAAACCACTCATGTCTTGCCTATTAAGCATAAATGTCAGACATTGGTCACAGTAGCAATCATACTGCCCATTTTTTTTCTATCTAACATTATATGCTTTTAGTCGTGGGTCATATGGAATCCAACTTATGAACAGAATTTTTCTTTTGTTCTTAAAATATTTCTTTCAAAAAGGTCAATAATCTTATGAAACATGCCTCGAATTCCCTTCAAAAGTAGTGGTTGACATACAACTGTAGTAAATGTTTCTTTTCCACAATCCTCTTTTACCTTTAGTGCTGCCCTAAGGTCAATTTTAAATACTTAAGTGATGCTTTACTCCCATACTTTAGTGATTTATTTTTCCCATAGTAACACACACTGTTCCTGTCAGGGTGACCTGATAGTGAATAAAGTGTGCTGCTTTCACTGATGTGAATAGGCTTGTTTTTTTTTTATTTTTGACTGAGCAGACACCAATGTCCATCACTAGTAGATTTCATGTTTCATCTCCACTTTGGATATAAAGTTACCGTACCATATACTGACAATCGGTTAGGTTTTACATAAAACTTGAAAAGCACACTTTTTTTTTTTTTTTCAGTTTTGGCCCCCTTATGAAAATATGTGATAATTGATAATTAAAAAAATAAAATAAAAAATATCTAAAAGTATTGTTTTTTATATATATATATATATATATATACAACTGTGTTTTTTACTAAACATAACTTTAGTTCATTAGACATGTTGTGGAACACCTAAATGATAGTTGCATCAGTAAAGGCGAAATTAATCTAAATTTGTTAACAAATCATTACAAACCCATCAGGTTTAAATTGGGGCGGAAAAAAATCTTGCTGGATAAAGATTGCATGCCCGCCTCCCACATCGTGACCAGGACATAACGGTCCTGGACAGTAAGCCGCAATCTGGTGGCTTGTCATTGACCTAATATTTCTGAGATGTCCTGTTGGAGATATACATACCGTATTTTCACGACCATAAGGCGCACCATACTAAAAGGCGCAGTCTCAGTTATGTGTGCCATTTCTGTATTTAACACACACATAAGGCGCACCAGACTATAGGGCGCGTTTTTTATATACAGGTACATGTCCTCTACTACGCTTAAATACCTCTACTGCGTATTTAAAAATAGAGCGGGGCCAAACTGAGTATGATTGTTCTTTATTCATGTATTTATTACAAAGTATTAATCAAACCTGGGAGCTGGCCGTGAGACAGACACATCACTGATGACACAGAGCGCTGTGATCACTCCTCTGAAACAGTTTATTGACGCATAAATTAACTTAAAATCCTGAAACCTGCCGACAGAATATGTTCGCTTTTATTATCCTGGTGCCTGCAATTTAGATTATTTAGATGAAAAACACCAGCCGCCGCGTGAACCGCGAGGAGGCGACCCGGCCAGAGGCTGCTGTTGAATTAAGTTTTCAGGTGGAAAAATAGAGCGGGAGCAAAACTGAGTAACATTGTGCTTTATTCATGTATTTATTACAAAGTATTAATCAAACCCATCACAGTCATCATCCTCTGTTTCTGAATTAAACAGCTGCGCTAAATCAGACATGCCAATTTCCCCCTCTTCGCTGTCAGAGTCACTTTTCCGTGCCGGGCGGCTCCTTGGAAATGATGCCGGCTTTTGCGAAAGCTCAAACAACAGTGCCAGCAGACACGTAGTCCAAGCATCAACAATCCATCCGCAAACGGTGGCGTAAGTTGCCCGGCGCTGCCTTCCACTTTTTGTGAAACTGGGGTCTCCGTCTGTCATCCATCCCTCCCACGCCAGTTTTCAGCTAAAACTGTACTTAGGGGTGGTGAACAACTTGTTTCAATGCATAGAGCTGTGGTTCGATTAAGCTAGAATGGATGTCTTATTTTCCCAGAAGGGACGGCTTGCTCAGTGATTAAATGCATGACAATTACCACTTCCACTGACTTAATAACAAAGAAACTTTGCTACATCAAACATAAAGACAAAACAAACAAACAGCCGTAGTAGCCCATAGCTTCAATAAGTTTATGACAAAAAATGTTACTGACCATAAAAAATAAATGTTTTAATTTTATTTATTTATTTTTTTTCGACCTAAACTTGAGGGATTGAAAAAAATAGACTCAAACTTAAATATCTGACTTTCATAGTTGGGGAACATATAACAGAATGAAGTACATTTCATAAAAATAAAATATTTTAGAATAATACAAATATGACTACAAGTTTCCACTGAGATATAAAGGAAAAGCAGCCATTCCCACCCAACCAGAGACAAAAACAAGCAAATTATATCAAAACTCAGAATGGGTAAATTTAAACATCAAAAGCAAATTCTGCTCTGAATCATTTATAATCTCTGAGAGCCATGACCCAAAGAATCAAGTTCTCAGCATTCAGCAATCACCAGATCACAACCACAGTAAAGCAAAGTCAATAAAGTATGTTGTTTAGCTCTAAAATTTGATTTGTTAACCGGCATTGGCATGGAATATTCCTCATGTATTTTTGATTGGTGACACCTAGCATCACATGTATGCTATAATGGAGCAGTGAAGTCACATGAGTGCAATTATGAATGAACTGTTAAATAATGTAGCAGAGAAATTACAGATCATCTAAAAGATATATACTTTGTTTGTTTTTGTTACTGATTAGGCAGATCTTGAACTGGGTGCTTACTTTCAAGTAGGTTACCAAATAGTCCATCAGTTCACAAGCCTTTTTGTTTTCAGAACTGTTTGTTCAGATTTTAATTGATCTATCGGTTTAATCTTGTTAAACTTTATTTCCCTGTTACTTGTTTATTTCATTATCTGACTATTGTTAGGAGAATGCTGGCGTGTTGAGTCAGCTTGTAATGTGTTTTTTGGAGGCTGGTAAGGATTGCACCGTGTGAAGTTGGTCGTTGACTTATGATCACATGGTAGCATTCTGTTATATAATTAAAACATGAAATGGAAAAATATTCTTACCCCTTTATCTGTATTTTTTCATCATGACATTTTTTGATCTCTCTCTTGATATATACATATATATAAACAGTATTTTTTTTCGTGCACAATTTTAAGTATCGTATTGGAATATGTTGAAATGACAAATTCCAATCAACTTGCTAAATTTAGCAAAACAATGTTTTCATCTAGGCTTGAAGTAATTATTAACTTTTTTGAAAATAATTAAAACACTGATTAGGAGAACAGATCTGTCTGACATACTGAGCATTTACCTTAAATGACCTATCAGCTGTTTCTATAGCCAGTCTCCTACCCTAAATACAAGCATTAGAATTACTTTTCTCTGATAGTATGTATTATTGCCAATAATAGCTGGCATGATGAAGTAAAGTAAGTAAAACTTGCAAAGTAGGTAGAACTTGCCTGATTGCAACACATTCATTAGAACCTCACTCCGTTGCTGATTTGTGGTCGACACTAGTTTGCTAGATCTACTTCCTGTTTATTACAGCCAGGCATAACATCAAAGTATGTCGCCTGGTTAATTTACTCCAAACCAGATGCAAGCATACAGATTCATGTGCTTGAATGAATAATCGTTTGCTTTTAATCCCAATATCCTAACTGAATGGCAGCTCCAACAACCAACTTAGCCATTCCAATGCTTTGATTTGCTCCTTTCTTATCATGTTACTGTGTCAGACACATTTTGCAACCCCATCCGCTCCCAAATCCATGTTTGGATGATAATATGATCAAAACACTTGAAGATCTACTACTGATCATTTATTGAAAGTATGACATGTAAGAGTTAATAGCCTATTGAATTGAGAGGTTTTTGTCTAGCCTCTGCAAACTGGCTGTAATCAGATTCACCTGTCTGAAATAATTATTTGGTATCTTTATTTTTTTTTTATCATTTTTATCATCAATTTTTAGCTGTCAACACATTTTTCTTTCACTTCTTCACACTAGACTAAATGGTTTACATGTTCAAACCCTGACTAGTGAATGTAATATTGTAACTATTTTTGACATCTGCTCAAATTTAATATAGACGTTTTTAAGACCTTATGAGGTACAAATTCCTACTTTCTTCTGTACTGCTTTCTTAAATTGGAGCCTGCAGGAGTACAGTTGAGATTTGAAGTTATTTAAAGCAAACATTATCAATAGCATTTGTTGTGGGTTAAATTTTTTTGCATATCGGCTTGATATTATTTAAAATTTAGTTCTTTATGCTTACAATAATTGGAAAAAAGTCAAACCTACAAGTTGTAAGCTTAACTATTGTTACCACTGGACATGAATCTTCCTGATCTCGTTAACCTAAATCTATTATAAAGTTCTTACCGTCTACTGCAAACTACATGTCAGGACTTTTAATTTGCAACTGATTGTGAGCTTCAGATTCTTTTACCATATTCAACAAATCTAGATCTTTCAAAATGGAAGTTTACTCCCAAAATTAAATCTAAATTCCACAGGTTTTACACTTGTGACAGTGTTGTAATGTGACTCAGAATGAGTCTTGTTCTTTACCTGTTACAGTTGAGCCTTGGTTTATCATTTTCTTTTCCGACCCTTTCTTTTGAAAAGATTGGTGACAATCATTTATATATAGTCCATAGGTGGGCTAAAATTGCATGGCCATTTTGGATTCGATTCAATAACAAGTTCCTAATTTTGTTGTAAAAATATTCATTTAATTTTAGATCATGCAGCTTGTGTCCAAGTTTTCAGTAGGAAAAATAGCTATAAGAGAAGTATAGGATCTCTTACATTCCCCAAAGTTTCCTGATGATTTCAAAACTTTCATCAAATGAAAATTGGGTGTCCAGATAATGAAGTGACCTCTCATGTAAATCGCCACAAACACGATGGAGCTCCTTCTCAATGTCGAACACTTCTTTTCTTTTTCTTGAAATCGGAAATAAACAAACACAGCTCTTTTAACCGGAAACACATTTGGAATACAGGATATGTTGGAATACGTTTCTAATTACAGCATAGCTTTTCAAAATACAGCTTTTCTATACATTAAACATTTTACAACCAATGTTGAATCTGTTCTCGTTTCGAGTTACCATGTCTCTACAAAGCTAAATTGGCTTTGTAGAGTTTAACTAGACGCACCTTAAAGTAAATATGTGAGTAATGCATCTGTGTTTATCTAGATATCAGATTTATGCTGTGTTGTTAATTGAGTATTTTGATGGCTAAGACATGTGAATGACAGTCCAATGCCTTATTATTTTTATTTTTTTTCCAGAGATTCCAGTGAGGAGTGCAATGGGATCAGTAATGCTCTGTCAGTGGAATCTGTGCCGGGGCCAAGACTAAATTGGTGTTCAGCCAACACCACCACCCTTGCCCCTACTTTTGCTCCAGTTCCCGCTCCGGGACCTGAGCCTACGCCTAACCCCGTCAGAATGGGAGACGGTCTGGAAACTGCACAGATGTCAGGCAGCAGCCAGGGGCAGACTCAGCAAATGGGCAATCCCCCGCCCCCGGAGTATTTCAATCCCAACAGGCCAAAGCGCCAGACCAATCAGCTGCAGTACCTACTTAAAGCGGTGGTAAAAACCCTGTGGAAGCACCAGTATGCCTGGCCTTTTCATTCACCGGTGGATGCCGTTAAACTCAACCTGCCTGTGAGTACGACCTGCTCTTTTATGTGTGCATTTTATCTCACTGACCCAAAATTTTTCCAATGCAGGCTCCCATGAGACTCTTAGTATGTTCTTACTTCTGCACTGTAACTGCAAATTATTTTACTGTTTTGTTTCATTTGCTGATGAATGCAGATCATGGTCAGCATTCTTGTTAATATTTAAAAATGTTTTAGTGTTTGTTGCATTAAACAGTTTGTACCATTGGACGCATGTTACAAACGTCAATATTGCCAGCTGTAGAGATGTCCTGATTACAGTTTATCCCCGTTCTAATGTAAAATTTAGGAACACATTTTTTTTAAAACACCACATAGTACAAAAAAATACATTTCAGAAACCTTTGCTTTTATCATGCAAAAGTACTATTTTGTTTGTCATGTTTAACACAATAAATATAAAATATGTTGCTCATATTTTTCTGCAGATTAGGTATTAGTAATTATTTTTAGCACTTTTAAAAGTTTAACTTAGATTGTTGTTAACTTAAGGGTCCAATTCTATTTTTTTAAGCATAAGGCATTTATCATTCTGTGAATTAAATGATATACTTACTGATATGAAAAAGTATTATTCAAAATGGTATTTTTCCTTGAAACATTTGATTTAATTTACATAGTCGCATGTCACAGGTCATCTCTGTATTAAAAGCAGGACAATATGTCATTTGTTAATTGCAGCGCATACCATGTCCTTCCAGGTGTTGTGCAACTCTTTACATTGTTTGATCATTTTCACTTATAGATGTAGAAAATGTAAGACAGGTTATTGGTATGGCTTTCAATCATTTAAAGCCTGGTCTTTGGATAATATAGATGATTTTTATTTTCCAAATCCTTATTTTATTGTAGCTCGGATTGAGCCTTTAAACATTAGCAAGTATTGTAATGTAAAACTATTGCTAATTACTTACTTTAAAACTTCCTATAATACATGTTTAAAAAATGTAAATCCTAAAGAAATATACTAAACATCAGTTTCATTGTGCAAATGGGTCATCATCTAAAAAGTATACACAGTGTGTTTTGTAAACTTATAAAAATGTGAAAAATTAGAACTTTTGGCATTTAATGACTTATACTTAAATGTAATGAATAAATAAATCCATTAGTTAAGTCCTACAATTCTTAAGTTCAATTTTAGTTTAAAACCCAATAATACCAGCTTTGTTGTATCAAGTGCAGAACGTTGCCCTTTAGAGCTTCTTGTTGACACACTGATTTTTTTTTTGTTGTTTTTTTTTTTTTTTTTTAGGATTACTACACTATAATTAAAACACCTATGGACATGGGAACAATCAAAAAAAGACTTGAGAACAGCTACTACTGGAATGCCCAAGAATGTGTTCAGGACTTCAACACGATGTTTACCAACTGCTATATATACAACAAGGTAACTTAGTTTCACACAAGAGCAATTGTTGCTATAACTTTAAAAACCATTATTTTGATGTCACTGCAATTTGATGAGAATGTTTTATTTTTTTCTGTTCAACAGCCTGGAGATGATATTGTTTTAATGGCTGAGGCTCTAGAAAAGGCTTTCCTTCAAAAGGTGGCAGAAATGCCTCAGGAAGAAATAGAGATTCCGGTCATGACAGGAAAGGGACGTGGCCGAGGCCGGAGAGACGCTGGTATGTGGTTAGCTTGTTTATACTGAACTGCTAGTATGCAATATTCTATGAAACAAGATAACAAAGCAAGCCCCTTGTTTTCTCACCAAGGTATAAACTTGAAACCAGGCGCCATCATTGATTCTTCATCCCCGACCCCACAAACACGTGGCCTGTCAAGCCTCCCAGCTACTCCGCAGGCCAGAGGACCAATGCAGGCACCACCTTTGCTACCTCCCCATCCTTCAATGCAGGCTCTGCCTTCCCTTGTGCCCCAGACGTTACCCAGCCTTGCACCACAGCTCCAACCACCGTACACGATGGTTCAGTCAGACTGTGTTCCTCAAGTTCCCATTATGACTTCTGTGCCTCTCCCTACTCAGACCTCTCTTCCTCCGGTATCGATTCAGAACACTGCCCCTATTCTGCAGAGCCCTATAACTATGACCAAAGTGAGTTTACAGACTATTTGTTTTGAATAGTATTTTCTATTATTGCCCAAACCTTGATTTTCTTTCTTTATTTTCACCACTGCAGCCAAAAAAGAGCCAAAAACGGAAAGCGGACACTACAACACCCACAGCTAATGACCAGCTAAGTGAGTCTTCACCTGCAGAATCGAAGTCTGGGAAGACGTTACCCAGGCGAGAGAGTAACCGACCACCGAAACTGTTAAAGAAAGAGGCTCCAGACTCCCAGCATCACATAGGCTTGGTAACAGGACTGGGTGGTCCGAGTGGAGGTCTTAGCCCCAAACCACAGGATCAGCTAGGTTATTGTTCTGGTCTAGTTAGAGAGATGTTATCCAAGAAACACGCTGCTTATGCTTGGCCATTTTATAAACCTGTTGACGTGGATGCACTGGGATTACACGATTATCATGATATCATCAAGCATCCAATGGACCTAAGTACCATCAAGGTTTGTTTAATGCAGGGTTATAAAGAATCTCAGAACTACGAATGATTTCATTATGTAACATACTAAGTGAAATACTTGCTGTGTTGTGGTAGGCCAAATTGGAGGCAAAGCAATACCGAGATCCCCAGGAGTTTGCTGCTGATGTAAGGTTAATGTTTTCCAACTGCTACAAATACAACCCACCGGACCACGAAGTAGTATCCATGGCACGAAAGCTGCAGGTATACAAACATTATTAGACTGAAATAAAAAGATGGCTTGAGTCCGCTCTTACAGAATGTGGCCATAAACTATGTTTTATAGTTCTAACGCCTTTTTTTTTTTTTCCTGTCTTTTGTTGTTTTTAATTTTAAAATTTCATGTTTAACTGCCAATATTACTCTTTTCCTTTTTTATAGGATGTGTTTGAGATGCGCTTTGCGAAAATGCCAGATGAACCTGAACCCAAGCCAGTGGTTTCTGCCCCAACTCCTACACTTCACCACCCTGCCCCTGTGAAGCCCCAGCCCCCTGTGGCACACATCCCCTCGTCTTCAGACAGCTCCAGTGACTCATCCTCTGAGTCTGAGTCTTCCACTGATGACTCTGAAGAGGAAAGAGCCCAGCGGTTAGCAGAACTCCAGGAGCAGGTCAGGGATCAAAGAACATTTTAGATGAAGTCACAGTTGTTCTTCAGGTCTTGTAAAACTTTGTTTAAAAATGGTTCAATTTTTCCACAAACAGCTGAAGGCTGTCCACGAGCAGCTGGCTGCCCTGTCCCAACCTCAAGCCAGCAAACCAAAGAGAAAAGAAAAGGAAAAGAAGGAGAAGAAAAAAGATAAGCATAAGAAGAAGGGCAGCATTCCAAGCCTTGTAGATGAGATCCACGATGCCACACCAGTTTCACAGCTGCCCAAGAAAACAAAGAACATGAACAGCAACAAAGATGTTACTAAGAAGAAATCCAGGTTGGTTTAAAAATACCCTTAGTATCAGTCTATCTGGGGACTGACCAAGATGTTTTACTTTTTAACTCTTCTCCTACCATAAAGCGTATTATATATAGTTTTTTTTATTATTCTTTAGTTTATATTTTCCAAAGGTAAGCCTTATGAAAAAGTCTTATTATATTGATCTTGAGCTGTATGTTAGTGAACCTGATTACTTCTGTATTTTATTTAACCAAGATTTAAGCACCTTCAAGCAGCTTAGATCACGTTATATCCTCATATTTATATAAAAGCTTAGTTTCACCATTAGTCTCCCTTTTTATACATCTTTTTGAATTCCTTCTAAACATGGTATAAACATTCTGATAGAAACAAAATTTATATATGCACTTTTAGATCATTAAAACTTCTGTTTAAGTTAATATTGCCTTTTGTTTCTCCCACAAAGTAAAAAAGACGGATTGAAAAATAATCACCCACCAAGTCTGCAGCTTGTGCCAAGCATGGAGGACGATCTCGGGACAACTGGGCCGTCTGTTCCGGGGGAGAAATGCAAGCCTATGACTTACGAAGAGAAGAGGCAGCTAAGCCTGGACATTAACAAGCTTCCTGGTGACAAGCTTGGCCGTGTAGTACATATTATTCAGTCCAGAGAGCCTTCGCTCAAAAACTCAAACCCTGATGAGATTGAGATTGACTTTGAGACCCTGAAGCCTTCAACTCTGCGTGAACTAGAAAGATATGTGTCATCCTGCCTCAAGAAAAAAAAGAAGGTTCCAGGTGAGACACTGCATGAAAATCATTTAGCAGAGCAATGTCTTAATACATGCTCAATAAACTGTGAGTGTACTTTCTCATACAAAATCTATTAACATTAAGTTGCTTCTATAGCTGAGAAAACCATTGAGTCGGTGGCTTCTTCCAAAAAGACGGTATCTTCTTCTGAAAGCAGTGGCTCGAGCTCAGACAGTGATGCTGATGGATCAGGTAGATTTAAGCTCAGTCTTCTTTTTAAGTACCCACAATACATACCACTGTCTTCTGTGGAAAAAGACAACCTACTTGTTTTTCTTTCTAGGAATGATCAAACAGCCAAAGAAGAAGAGCCAATCTGTGAAAGAGGCAAAGAAGACGCATCCTGTGGTTCAGACAGGCTCTGCACAGGTTGCGTTTCAGTCCCAACCTGTCATCTCTCAGGCCACCAGTCAGATGAAGCAACAGCAGCATCAACCGTCTCCTGCAGGCTTTATGGCTCCTCAACCTGTAGCTGCTCTGGAGTCGTCCCACTTACTGGAAAGCTACGATTCCTTGCCTCCTTTCAGCCAGTCGATCATGCATATGCCTCACCACACAGGCAGCACTTCCCCTACACCTCAAAATACGAATGCTCATTCTGCTGAATCAGTGTCTCCTGAAACGCACCCCTTCCTCAACCAGCATCCAGTCCTCCCTTCTCCAGGTAATGATGTGTGTTGGTGCTGTGATTTGTTTTCTTTGCTGTCATAAAGGCCTTTTAATAGTGGTGGTGCATTGCAACCGAATGTGTTTTGAGGGCCAGGGGCGTCCGGGTTACATGCAAAGTCTATGGTGGACGTCCATTAAGGGACGTTCAGAGGTCTGTGACACAATTCCACTGCATTTTCAAGCAATTCTGTCAAGCGTGTCCAGGGCGTCAGACGCTTGACGCAATGTGTCAACCAATCAGAGAAGCTGATCTGGGAGCTAGCTGGGAGAAAGTCACCTCATCCATCTTGGAAAATGAACAAGAATATTTTTAAAGCAGTTATACTGAACCAAGATTTATAAAAAAAGTCATTTACAAGGAGAAGAGTGTGTGCTCCGAACACTCCGCTAAAATGTTTGAACTCAGAGAAAATAATATCTATATTGACTTAAAATGTCGAAACCTTCCAGGACAAATAAAATCTATTTTAAATACTGACTTGGAGAAAAGTGATACTCTTCTAGGAAGGTTTGCCACTGCTGTATGTTTTTTTCAAGTTGTGGACAATGGCTCTCTCCTTTGTTTGCTGCCACCCAAACTCTTAGAAATGGCCCTTTCCAGACCTTCAGAGAGGATCTATTTAAATGTATTATTTTTTGCAGGTCAGCCTAAAATTATTCCTGGGTTTGATTTGTGGAATTAAGCAAAATTTTCAATAACACATAATTTGTGTTTTAGAAGTTGTGGTATTTCGTATTTCCCATATGGGGCCTAGTTAGTTTGGTTTTCCCCCTAATGCTTAAAACAATCATCTGAAAACAGCTTTTTGTTTTAGATGATGGGTCATCTTTAACTGATACTGAATAGTTAAAGGGTTTAAAACATAAAACTTTGACATAAAGCATAATAATTAAATCTGTAAATAGGCAACACTTTTTCACAGCACCAATGGGGAAAAAATACTAATTAATAGTTACATGAATGTTTTGTGTTTTGCAAACTTGGATCATTCTCGATGATTGCATTACATAAATAAATAAAAATTCAAGCATTAGAAGAAAACTGGATGAGGACAGTTATAACTTATGCATTAAATGAATTCAAAAATGCAAATTTTTATGGTTAAAATTTATTTTTTTTTCCTTTTAAGTAACATGAATCTGTTGTTCCATGCCAGCTCTACACAGTTCTATGCCTCAGCAGCCGTCTCGGCCGAGTCACAAGGCAGCGCCTCTTCATCCAAAACCCCCTCAGCAACAACCAGCCCCACCTCAGCAGCAGCCCGCTCTTCAGCAGCAGCAACAGCAGCAGCTCCAGCCTCAGGCAGCTCCCCCACCACAGCACCAACTTCCCTCTCAGATTCTTCACACTCATCAACCGCTGCACCAAAGGCCATTGTCACCACCCACCCTCACCCCTCAAGGTTTGATATCTTCCCAGCCACCCCAGATGCTGTTGGAAGATGACGAAGAGCCTGGGTCAACAACACCTATGAACCAAGTGCAGTTATTCCTAGAGCAGTTCCAGCCGGCTCGTCAGCCCCAGCAGTCCATTCCGCCTCACCAGGCACCGGTTCGGCAGCAGCAGCTGGGACAGACTTCTCTATTGCAGTCTGGGACGATCCAGGGACAACCCCAGCTCTCCACACAGACTTTGCTCCCTCCTCCACAGCTTTCTGTTCCATCTCAAGCCCAGCCCGCTCCGTCACATCAACCCCCACCTCCACAGATACCCATTCACCAGGCCCGCCACTTGCAAAACACTCAACATCTACAGCAGCTGAACTATCAGCAGGGTTCTGGACTCACTGCTCAGTCCCAGGCTTCACAACACAATATTGCAATCCCCACCAACAAAGCGCCACAGATTATTCAGCGGCAGCAAGAGCAGCCCTCCCCTCGTCCATCCAAACCCGACCCCTACAACACTGGTAGGTGTCAGAAACGATACAAATAGTGATTGTTCAACTGTTCTTAGATGCAAACTTAGATGTGTGAACTTTTTTTTTTTCTGGACAGGACACATCAGAGATAACCCATCTCCTCTCATGATGCATTCCCCACATATGTCCCAGTTTCCAAGCGTTCCTCACTCATCCCCACCTCAAAACATCCAACCCAAGAAGGTAAGAAGTTCAAAAGAAAACATTGTTTCTTAGGATGGTTAATTTGCAAAGCAAATGTGTTGACTGTGAATCAATGGCTTGTCATGCAGCAGAGAGCATCTGGAAGCAAAGGTGCCATTAAGGAGGAAAAGCTTCCTTCATCACCAGTCATGAGAGGAGAGCAGTTTAATCCTGCCATGAGAACAGACCATCACAAACATCCTGATATCAAACAAAGTCAGACCGGTCAAGGTCAACAGAGTGAGAACATCAAAGCTTTATTTTCCTCTGTATTTAAAACACTTGAAAGGATGCACTACCAAAGGTACTGACTGAGTTCATGTCCATGTTTTGGGCAGATGTGAAGTCCGTGGATATTTCACGGCCGGTCAGTCGCTCATCTGAGCCCTCTGGGCCGCCCCCCACACTGCAGGAAAAGGAGAAATTCAAGCAGGAGCCTAAGACCCCTATTGCTCCAAAAAAGGTACAGGTGGGTAAAGGCATCCAGTTTTAGACTTGCTACTTGCTCTCTTTGCATGAATAAAGCTTTGGGTATTATTCCTATGAATTCTTCTTATTTATTTATTTATTTTTTTTGTGTGTTAGGATGTGAAACTCAAAAATATGGGCTCATGGGCAAGTCTGGCGCATAAGTCAACCTCTACAACCCAGTCTGCAGTAAAGTCATCGAGTGACAGTTTTGAGCAGTTCCGCCGTGCGGCCCGGGAGAAAGAGGAGCGGGAGAAAGCCCTGAAAGCCCAGGCAGAGGCAGAAAAGGACCGGCTGCGCAGAGAGCAGGATAAGCATCGGTAAGGCTCCGACAAGAAAACACTGAAGGCATTTACAGTAGAAGAAAAGAAATATACTAAGCTGTGAATCGGGATAACAGGAAAGTGATAAAATAAGGAAACTGCAAACACAAAGATCAATAAGTTTGATTGGAGACATGAAAGACATTCTCTTTCATGTGGACTGATTACTTCACCTGCTCTTAAATTTGAAATATAGATCTCAGTCATCATTCTGAGTTATTTAAATGTTGAAGTGACATACCGTTTATTTCTTCCTGCTAACAAATTTCTTTCTGCTTGAATCGCATCATGTAGTAGTATAGAGATACACCTGATTCTCTAATAATGCTTATTTCAATCAGTTGTTTTTCGAAAAATCTTAGAATCCTTTTAAAAGCTGTGTTACTCTTGTTTTATATCATTCAAAATACTCTGTTTCAAAGATGTTTATGTAAGAGCATCTTTCATTGTCGTGGTAAACTTCCAGCAGAGATCTATAATGTTATGTCTGAATGCTCTCCAGAGGGCGAGATGAAGAGGATGTCATTGAGGCTCCGCCCAGAAGAGTGCATGAGGAGTCTCGTGGTCGCCTTGAACAGCAGCACGTTCCAGCCCCTCCTCAACAACAGCCGCAGGTGCAGCAGGAATCCCAGCCAGCTGCCATTCAGCAACCTCCTCAACCACCTACACCGCCTCAGCCCAGCTCACAGAACTCACTAGATCAGCAGAGGGAAATAGCACGCCGTAGGGAACAGGAGAGGAGGAGGAGGGAGGTGGTAAGTTGGATATCCCTAACCTGCAACAAGTACCGATTTCATTTATTCTGTTACATAGGCTACGTTCACACTGCAACCTGAAGTGACCCAAATCTGTTATTTTTTTGCCCATATGCAACCTATATCTGATCTTTTCATGGCAGTCTGAACAACACAATGCGACCCAGGCCACTTTGCTATGTGGTCTTAAATCCGATACGAGTCTGATCTTTTCAAACCTGTGTCTGAATGATCCGGTCGCATTCATCTGATCTGAACGTCATTAAAACTCAACAAAGGTCACTAGTCTGCATCTTGCTACGCAAAAACGGGAAGAAAAACAACAACCATGATAGGCGATAATGCGGAGAGCAGTTTTTTATTTATTTATTTGTTTTTATCATCTTGAAAAGATTGAGTTTACTTCCGTAAACACAAAGCACTCTTGCTTGTGACGTCATTGCGTCCTCTACTGCGCATGCAGGACTTTAATGTTGTATGAATGCAGTTCACACGGGAGATCACATACAAGTCGGATATATTTGGAAATATGAGCGGCAACACAAAAAAAAAACAAATAGATTTCACAAGAATATCAGAATTGAGCATCAAGGCCTGCAGTGTGATCGATCCTAAGTCATTTGTACAAACTTAAGTAATCCCTGTTTTTCTTTTCTTTCAACAGCAGGCCGCAGTTATTGACATGAATTTTCAAAGTGACATAATGGCCATCTTTGAGGAGAACTTGTTTTGAGGAGAGAAGGACTAGAGATGAACTGCAAGGAAGAGGGGAGGGGGAGTAAATGATGAAAGCATCCTCATGAATTTAAAAACCCTGGCATCCATGCAGCGCAGACTTTATGCATACATAACCAGCCCTGCTGAGACTGAAAACAAACGCTGGCTGGAGAAGTGGTTACGGCTCACTTTGGCCTCATCGGGTGAACTCATGGAGGGGTCTCCCATTGTGTTGGATGTCATTTTGTTGGAATCCAGCACTGCTTTGCCTGATCTCTAGTTGAGGAAGAAAAAGGACCCTTTTTTTGGCACAGTAGCCTTTATCAGACTCAATTCTCTCACTGTGTGTTGGCACAACAATACCGCAGGAGTAAAGACATCCCGATTCTGGAGATTCTAAAATGCTCTGAAATACTGACAGACTGCGCAGAAGTATTTTGAAACTGCCAGATGTCTAAAATAGTGAAGAAATTGTCTTTTATGTTGTTAATTTTGTTGTTAGTGAACACTTTTTTTTTTTTCTTTTTATATATGGTGGGGAGGGGTGGGGGCAACTTCCATACTGTAAATCATGTATATTTCTCAGCAGAGAAGGTACAGTTTGCCTTACATCTTTTTCCTAAATAGACAATTATGTTGAATGGCCTGCACACATGGACGAACCAATAACATTTACATACAGAACCACAAGCCGTGCAGACGTGTTTTTTTTTTTTTTCTTTGTTCACCATCTAGGATCTACTGTAAAAAGAATATTTTCTTATACTTCAATAACTTTTTATTTTGGAACTTGTCTGCTTTTCCACATCGGTTATTTTAATCTTTGCACCAACACACTCCCACCACCTATGCCAAACAACTCGTATGCTAAATTACTTCTTCTAGAGCATCATAGATAGAGGGCAAGAACAGAATATATGCATTATCATAGCTCCAGGGCGTATTTATCACAGAAAAGATCAGTTTTCATCTTGTATTTGTCTTTTAAAAAACTACAAACAACAATATATCAGAGGAGTTAAAGAGCCAGTTGTTTCTGAGCTTTAGTTGAATTTCACTACAAGTGTCGTTATAATTGTTTTACTATCAGGTTTGACATTCAGCTGTTCACAGCAGTGACTTCTGGATTGGATAAGCCCCTTTTGCCTTTTATGATTCTGTTGTGGCAAAAACCTCTGCTTAAAGTAACAAAAATGCAATTAATTAAAGACATTTACATCTTTGTAGCTGATATATGAAACACATAATGAGTTGAGAACAGAGTTCACACTTTGAATCCTATCTTGATTCACAACAGGAACTCTAGACATAAAAGAAACAACCAACAACTGAAAACAAAAAATGCAAAAAAAGGTTTGAATTTCTATCTGTTCTTGTTTTATAATAGTGGATGTAAGTTCTAATACTGTTCCTGGAGATATTGTTGGAGCTGGGCTAGAATCTGAACACATGTTGTCCTCTCTATTTGTCTCCTAAAAATATTGTTTCTTTTTTTTTTTTTTTTTCTCCAGTGCCTGTATTGTATTGCAATTCTTGTTGGCTTCTATTACACTTCGAGGGGACTTAGAAAGTGGCACATTATGACTGGGAGGTGTAATATTTAAAAAGGGGAGGGAGATTTTTGACAGAGTTTGTGTTTTAAAAAAAAAAAAAGGTAAAGACAGCATTTTATATTTTACCTGTTGTCAATATTCTGGTTTTAAATTTAGTTTTTAGCTGGGCTTCTTTAAGTGTAAACATCTGACAAACTACTTTCTCATTTTGTTCTCTCAGCAGAGTTTAGCTAGATGTGTTTCAACGTTTTTCCACATTAGCGTTTTCAGTCTGGTCTCTAAGTTTGATTGTGTACATTTGGGCGGCAGTGTGAATGTGTGAGTGTTTTCTTTGTTCTTTTTCACTGTGTGGTGCAGAGAGGCATGTTCCCAGATGTAGATAAACGTTCTGTTGACAAAGACTAAAAAGATGAGCAGGAGAGGTTTAGTGCTTAATTCACTTTTATAAATTTCTTTGAAGTCCACCATGTATGAATATATAATGTTATTATTAGACCTGTTTCAAAAGTGTTAAGAAAACTTTTCATTCCTTTCTATCTTTTCCTTCCCTCATTAACTGTTGGACATGATGTGCCATGGGTTCTACAGAGAATGTGCTGACAAGCAGCTCAGCCCACATTTTGCTTTATTCAGGTATTTTATTTTTGTGTTGCATTTGTTCTGTTTTTTGGGGGGGTTATTATAACATTTCCTCAGTTTTGTTTTGGTATGTGAGTGGTCTCTTGAGGTCTCTGAATCGTATGTTATGATCATTGAATAAACTCATCTGTTTTTTAGAAAATAAAAACATTGACTGCTTTTTTGTGTTGGTTTGAAACTTTCTTGTATGAACGTTGATCTGCAGGTGTAGAAATTTTCCTTTTTGTCACTTTAAAAACACAAACTTTTTGTAATACACTAACACAAAGTTGTACAGAAATTGTAGGAAAATAAGTTTTATATTTCATTTACAAATAAAGCTCAAGCTGTATCATTTTACAAGATAATTATCAGATAATCTATCTTTATTAAGTATAATTTTCTCTCCAGTTCAGTTATTTGCTACTTTTTGTTGGTTTCCCACATACAATAACTGATACTAGTGCATCATACACCCAAAACAACTTTTAGATTTTAGCTCAAGGGGTAAGAATTAGGACTGAACAATATTCCAATATTAGTATATATCGCAATATAATTTTATTTGGTATTGGTGATATGACTCTTTAACATATTTTGGTAATTCAATATTTATTTGTCTATTATTGCACCTTTTGTCACTGACTGATGCTCCACGTTTATGTAGTTTTATGTGTTAATATCTGAAGGCAAATATTTCTTAAATTGGATTTTGGAGTTTTGTAGATATGGCAAGACATTTGTCATACATTTGCACAGGCATCTGTTGTTGGCAGTCTTCAGTCTTTCAAGGCTTTTATTGTTTTTAATATACCAAAAATATATAGTTATCAGCAGAAATCAGCCCTAGTATGTATACTTCTGTATATCTACAATCTAGAGCTCAGATTTAACCTACCTATTTGAAATACAAATCACATAAGTTATTGAGAATAAAGGTCACTGTCTGAATACAAAACATGATTTTTGTAAGTGTTTGGTTGTCTTTCCTAACAGTTTCATCACAGATATACCTTTGTTATTATTTAGCTGTTTTGACTACGATAAAGGGCTGTGATTAAAACAGCATTTTAAATCGCTTAAACAAAACAAGGACCAGCTAGGTGTTTCAGTTACTCTTCAAATGTCCAAACAAGAACAATATAGTATAACCTTCATATTTGGCTGTACAGTACATGCAATTTAAATTTAAAATAGTAAAATTATTTCCTTAATAATAGTTGAGCAAGTTCCAGTAGTTTTATTTTGATGATACCAACCGGAAAACGCACCCTACTTATTCTCATGCACTTTACAGTTTAATATATTGTTGACACGTCGCCCTCTGGTGGTCATTGTTAAGAACTACAAATCTAACAAACGCTGTTTTTTTTCTCAAGTTTCTTAGTTTAACTTTATCTGCATACGTTTTTGTGTCCCTGATTCAGTTCTCTAACCATAATTCTTAAATTGTTAATTCAAAAGTTCGAGCAACTTTAATGTTCGTAGGGAAACACTCAACCTACTCAGTTGCATTGGTAGCCGGGAGGGGGGCTTTTTTCTAGCGTTTACGGAAGAGGGAGACGGACAGCCGCCTCAATAGGCCCCCATGTGGTCACTCTGTGTAATTACGATTCTTTTAACATCATGAACTTTTTTCTGATATTAACCCTTTTGATTGAGAAAACCACACATGAGATGAAATATTCTACAAAAGGAAAAGATATAGATACAGACGTCAACTTTATGCCTACCGAACAAGACTGAAAATATTATATTGCAACAGAAATACAAGTAGGTATAAAATCACAAATTGTGTAGTTCCACAGACTGTGTAAAAATAAGATTAAAAAAAAATTAGATAACAGAGTTACTAGGGGGTTGTAATAATCAATGTTAACGAGAAACGTTCGGTTGCAGTAGCTGTATTAACATTTATATTATTTTAGAGATTATTAAAGTTTTATGAAACGTTTGTGTTTCCTCCACTGTTTCGCACTCAACCAAGGGTTCAATTTGACAACTGCCCTCTTGTGGCCAACGGGGTGTACTGCAGCGTATTGATACTGTTAAGTCTGCGTTAATATCTAAATAAATAATAAAAGCACTTCCCGTTAAAAACTTCAAAATAAAGATTCAAAACACTTTAGAAAGCATTTCATCAGCTGCCTGAATATTTTCACTCATTGAAATTCTTATGATAAACATTAAGAAAAAAAAAATAGTACTATACGTCATTTAAATACCATTCTAAATTTCTAAGCCTGCTTGAGCGGTTCCCTCCAAAATAAAGCTCTGTTCAGACTGGCAATGGAGAAACATCCTTTATTTTATATTGTCTATGCATCTGTTCTACATGAAAACAGATCCTGTGCATATATAACTACAGCGTGTAACTACACTGTTTACTGGGAATAAATATATCTATTGAGTGTGAGAGAGATTTATCAGAGACGTGAAAAAACTGACAAGGCTGATGAGTGACTTTTCTGTCAATTATGCATATAGCTGTAAAACTAGCCCAGATAAACCTATGCAGTTAGAGGTGACAGAACAAATCCCTGCATTTCCATCCACTGGCCTAAACATTTTGAACCCATTTGAACACATGACATTAGATAATACTCTTATGTGACTATGTACTGATAGGAAATTATGCAAACTCAATGCTGCTCAATACAGACTGAACCTCCCGGGGCTGAGTGTGTTGTTTCTGCTCTGGATGGAGGTCAGCTGTTTGTTGTCCATGAGTGTTTGGGAGGGGAATTGGGGTCAAGCAGTGGGTCAATCAAACTGATTGCTTGGTCTGCTGTTGTATGTTTTTTGTGACTATTTGTATTTATTGTTTTATTCCTCTGTACAGCTAACCCTGTTTGTTGTAAATGTGGCTTATAGCCAGCTCATGTAATGACAGGTGTTTCTCTGTTAGCAGAATAACTCAGCTACTGAACAGATTTAGATATAATTTTTGGAGAATGATGGTAAATATAAGGGTTAGTTACATTATTATTATTATTTTTTTTTTTTGATCTGGATTACTGTTTGGATACAGGAAATATTTCAAGGATTCCGTGACATTAAAATTGATCTTTTATGTGTGTCTCCAGTGGATTTAACTTACTACCATTTAAATTTATATTAGAATCAGAATTACATTTATTCTCATTATACGATTCCAATACAAGTCCAATGTTTGGGAGCCTTTGTGATTCTCCTGTCTTCTGTTCTTGCTGCTCCTGTTGTTACCTCTGAGCCAACAGGAACTGGAACTTTAAATTCTTACTGTTATCATGATCAGGATGAAGTTACACAGCTCTTTATAAACTCTATCCTCATTGAATCCTGTTTTACTGTTATCTATTCAGTCTATATGATATCTACTTTAGTGAACAACATTAAAACTTTAATGGCACATTACTTAATTAGGCAAAAAAAAAAATCTGGCTGAAAATTCTGTCAGCTGCAGAAATACATTTAATAGGCCTACAGTAAAAAAGATAATAATAAAACACCAAAGCACTCAGTTAAAAACTTAAACACAAAAAAATATATTCAACAGAAACTGGTTTATTAATTAAAAAAATACATCAGTTAATCTTTTTTCTTTTTCCAGATATATGCTTTAATATCAGTAGTATATTATTTCATGTCATCCAGGTTCAAACTTTTTAGGCCACTGGATGGAAAGGTAGGGATTTGTTTTGTCACATCACCGCTAACTGTGTATGTTTATCTTTTGTCCAGATATATGCCTAAATAATTGACTGAAAGAGTATTTCCTCATAGAAATAAAGTTCCACACACAGCCATCTGTCATAAATGTCCCATTTATTGAAGAACAAGGTTGTATAATATTTTGGCCTGATGGGGTGATTTAAAGTCACATTAACGCACGGCGACACCTGCTGGTCATTTCAGGTACCTGTCCTCAGTGTGACTCATCAGACTTGTCATGTTTGTCTTGTCTCTGACAAATTTCTCTCAGTAGACTCAGTAGATAGATTTATTCCCTGTAAAATCTGTCTATTTAAAGATGCATAGGCGACGATTAGGGCAGGAAATACAATGAAAGGAAGTTTCTCCATGGCATCCTGAGCAGGGGCTTTATTTTGGAGGGAACCGCAAGGTGGGCTTGGTCCTTACCAGTTGGTGGCGGCAATGCTCATTCCTAAGGTTTTTGCCAACCGCCATAAAAGTATCAAGAAGAAGAGGTGGAGGAGGAAGAGGAGGAGAAGAAGAAGTTGCACAAAAAGAAGAAAAAATAACCGTTTCTCCATTTCGTTGTTTTTTTTTTTTTTGCACAAAACTGAAAACAACTATTTTTTGTCTCCTGCTTGTGTATTATACCCAGGAAATGGACTGATAAAAAGCAAACTGTTCATTACATCCCGTAAGCAAAGGTTGTGCAATAAGCCTTAACCAGTAGACATACCAAAGATACCGATGACTATGTCTACGGGTACGACACTGCCCTCTTCTGGTCAATATTTGAAATTACTGCTTAAAAAATCTGTTAAACTCTCAAAACAAAAATAAAGTTATTCCTTTTCTATTAAAGGCGGGTGCATTTTTGTTCCATGGGTTTATTCATTTGTCATACATATTTTGTTAGAAGAAAAATATTGTTTTCCAATGATAACTATGTGAGGTAGGATATTTTGTTCTTTCCGATTTTCCAGGCCGTGCATGAAGGCAGCAGCGCCTACCTATAGTTCAGGTCCAGCTGATCTGAGTGACAATGATTCAGAGAGGCGTCGACTTGAAACGTGTTCCCACACTTGTACGAACAGCATTAAAATTAAATAAAAATTTCTCCATCTTTTGATTAGAGATTGTCTCTGTTCTCATAAAGAAAATGTCCGGATGGAGGAGACCCTAAAATGAGAGGTAGGTTTATATTGTTTTTAGATTTTTTTAAAATAGGAAAATTAACAATATTTTCTAAACTTTCTCAAACAGATTCACTTGTGTTTCACTATCAACACAAGTGAATCTGTTTGAGAAAGTTTGGAAAATATTGTTAATTTTCCTATTTATAAATGTTAGAATAAGATGCAAACATACAATGAAGAACAAGGCAGTTTCCGGCCAGAATTTTAATAAACCGGATAATCTAGAGTCGTTTTATGGGACTAATCACACTATAAAGCTTGTAACGAAGTGGATTCACAGGCGCACACTTTTAATTGATAGTTGGTTTCAAATATGACACACATGGCTGATTAACTAAAGAAACAGTCACCTTTATGCTTAATGTCAAAATTCTACAACTATTAGACTTTAACTGGAAGTTGATCCTAAACTCATGCAAATGTCAATAACGCTTTACATGCTCAATAAGGGGGGGCTGTTTATAAATACTAAGCATTTGAAAGTAAAACTTAGTGGTGAGTGGAATGAGGACATCATGGTGGCAAGTTTCTTTTCTCTCTTTTTTACCACAAAGTCCACAGGCATGTTATTTGAGTAGAGAATATTACAGCTTCTATTCCACACCATACCATAGCACTATTAAATGAGAGTAGTATGATTAATAATAAACTGTGTCTATTGTTCTTCAAATGAATGAATTGTATAAACTACAAAGAATCTTGAAGTCTTTCCTTAAATGCTTTATTTATTGTTTCTGATTTATTTATTTTTTTTTCTTATTTGGGACCTGTAAAAAAATGATTCCAGGCTAGAATTGAAATGTTTTTCATTTACCAGTATTTCTTAGCTCATAAACCAGATATTTGCTACACATTTTTTATGCTTTTTTTAAACTTCTATTTTGCTTACCTTGGGGTATTGAACCACTGTCCTTTTTTCTATTCTGGTGTCATTTTCTGTTTTGACACAACCTAAGTTTCCTCTTTTATAGAGGAAATAAAAAAAAGAACCGGCAGTCTGGTGCTGGTTCTTTTTTTTTCTCCCCTGCACATAATACTACTTTTCTTCTTAATTCCTCCTTTCTAATAATAAATTAGATTCATAGAAACATCAGCACCCATCATTACAGTTTATGTTAGAAATATGTCTATTAGTACATTATATGCTGGGAGAAATAACATTTCTACCAAATGAGTACCGGTACAAATAATATAAACAAGCTTTTTGAACAGAACTGAGTCTTCAGTAGAGATGGGCAACTATTGATATTTAAAGTTTAGAAATAAAGTCACTTTTCATACTGGCTATACAGGACATAATTACAACTGAAACAGCATGAGTGTCATGCTTAATATAATCAACAAGGATTTATTTTGTAATTCTAAGAGATTATTTTGAACCAAAACTGCGATTGCGAATTTCATTTTGATTTTCTTTAGCACTAACCACCAGCTTGTAGATATTTCACCCCAGAGTTCTTTTTTTTTTTTTTTTTTTTGCAGGACTTAACTGTAAACTTTGAAAAAAAAAATGCTTAACTCTACTTGCATGTTCGGATTTTAGCTGCAGCTCTCTCATTCTTTCAGTGTGGCAACATGCCCTCTTCAAACATTTTACCCCCACATAGAGAGCTGGAGTGAGAAATTTAGTGTGTTTTGTCACCTTAGATATAGTGGGATTAAAATTTAGTTCCACTGCAATTCTAGATTGCAATTATATTGCAAACGCAAGTAATTGAAAAGCCTAATTTAAAAGTATTAATAATTTTTCGGTGTTGTTTTAGATTGATCTCTAGAAAACATCTTAACATCTTTTTCTTCAAGTAAGTCTTGTTAAGTATTAAACACATTTTTATGGAGATATATAACACTTTACAGAAGTTATATATCACTTTAGGAAAAGATGGTACAGCAAATTTTTAAAGATGCCGATTAATGCATGAGGGCCTAATACTGATCTAGACATCACCACATTGTGAAATCTATAGAATCTAACCTTAAATCAACAAAACCATACACAGTGTCCCAAAATTTTATATATTAAATAAAAGTAAAGCCAAAATAAAAGCATGGACTTACACCCTGTCATTAAACTACTTGTAAAATGACATATAGTGCAGAAATGTTGGTCTTCACAACTTATTGAAGTTTTGCAGTACTGGCCTCAGTCATTATACCGCCCCCAATATGCCTGACAGTTTACGGAGGTGTGAGTGCTGCATTTAGTTATTACCAAATATGACCCTGTGCAATAGGACCAAAATTGCTGCTCTAAAAGACATTTCTTCAGAAGGCGTGTGGTTTGTTGAAATGTAACTGAGCAGTGTCAAAGGAAGCAAAAGCCATGTTTTAATTTTAGCGGGAAGACCATTTTGTCTGCATTTCAAATACAGCATTGAGGTTCAGCTTTATCTAATCGCATTCAGACTTAAACCTGGAGAGTCGCTGACGGGCATTTTGTCCATTTTTCTAAGCTTTTACAATCAGATAGTGGGATAAACTGAAAAAATCAGCATTGTTAAATGTTTTCCACTTTTGAATAATTTCACTGCTGATTAAGAGACTTGAAATAGTTTAAAAATGGCTTCTTCCTTCCCAGACAATAATTATCATTTAAGGGGATTTTATTTGTAGCATTTGCCTTTCTTAAACGACGAAGTTGCATGTTTTTAGACACACTCCTCTTTTATAGCCTTATCTTTCTGATAATGAGGTGAACCTGCTGTGTGGTCTGCTACTCGTCAGTATAGATCTAAAATGATAGAATCTGGTACAGAGCAGATCACTTTTGATCCCTGATGTTTAAATTCTTATATAAAGAATGTACTTTTCTCGCTCAGCATATATTTTTTTTAATTTCCCTTTGTCTACTCTTTTTTTTTTTTTTTTTGTCCTTCACAGTTTTGTTCATGGAGAACAACATGTCATCTCAATGCAATTCCAGCCATAATGTGACCTTCTTCTACAAACTAGTAGAAAAGGAGATCAGAGAAAACTGGACTACACGGGACTCCTTATTACTCGGACTAGGTTTGCCATTTTCTTTGATAGTGGTGCTGGCCAACCTGTTGGTGATGGTGGCCATCGTCTTAAACCACCGCTTCCACCTCCCCATATATTACTTGCTGGGCAACATGGCAGCAGCGGACCTGTTTGCAGGTTTGGCCTACGCTAACCTCATTCTCAACACTGGCCCCTGGACTCGGAGGCTTTCTAAGACCCAGTGGTACATCCGTTCCGCTTTGGTTGACATCAGCTTGACATCCTCTGTAGCCAACCTTCTGGCTGTAGCCTTTGAACGCCACCAGACCATCATCACCATGCAGCTGCACAGCACCATGTCTAAGAGACGTGTGCTGCTGCTCATCGTCTCCATCTGGGTTGCTGGAATCATCATGGGTCTGGTGCCATCGCTGTTCTGGAACTGTGAATGCGATCACAACGACTGCTCTACCATCGCCCCACTCTACAGCAGACGCTTCTTGATTTTCTGGGCAGGTCTCAACCTACTGACATTTTTCATTATGGTGATCATGTACTCCCGCATATTCTTCTATGTGAAGTGTCAGAATAGGAATGTGTCCCCTCACACCATGGAGGAACGACAGCAGACTGTCATCAACCTGATGAAAACCATTTCTATGGTTCTGGGTAAGAACAAATACTACTTTTAGGAATGTTTCATGTTGACCATTTTAAGCACAAACACTTTTTTTTTTTCAAACTATATGCATACCTTGTTCTTTAATTACAAATCTCAGTGCCTTTATCTCCATCTGTCTTTTTTTCTATCTTTGTTTGTTGGTTTAAAGTTGGAAATGTATCCGGATTTTTCCAGTGAATTTATCTTATGAGTTCAGCTACTCGGGTGACTCAGGTGGCTGCTATTGAGCAACCATTACATAGCTGAGACATGACTATAATCCGGGCTCATTCTGCAATAAAAGTTCACTGGAAAAACCACAAGAATGAATTCATGTTTCAGCAAACAATCCATATCTCTGCAGGTGCTTTTGTGATCTGCTGGACACCTGGCCTCATTACTCTCCTCGTGGATGGGCTGTTGGGTAAAAATAGCAACGCTAAGAAGTATGAGAAGTACTGTTTGGTGATAGCAGAGTGCAATTCTTTGGTCAACCCAATCATTTATTCCTTGCGGGACGTTGAGATGAGAAAAACTTTTAAATGGATCCTTTCCTGCTTGTGTCGGAAAGGAGACTGTCGGCAGAGGGAGTCTTTGCCAACAGATACTGGATCTCAATTGACAGAGGTAAATATTACTTGTTTTGCCTTTTTTTAAAAGCAACCTATAGAGCAGCGATCCCCAAAGTCAGTTGTTTTTTGTTTGTTTTTTTGGGGGGGGAATAATGTCCTGCAGGTTTTAGAGGTTCCTCTGCTTTAGCAGAGCTGATTCTGATGACTGCAGTTCAGCAAAAGCCTGTTAATCAACCATCAATGTAGATCAGCTGTGCTTGAGCAGAGAAACCTCTAAAACCTGTAGGACAGGGGCCCTCAAGGACCTATAAAGTCTAAAAGCCTCTGGGTTACAACTTTTGCTTCAATAGCTGCTGTTCAGTTTTTTCATTTCTTCGTCATGCATCCGATTACTGAGCCGTAAGGTTTCATTTCCTACTAAGAACAGATTTCCAGAAATAAGCGTGTTCATACCTGTCAGGTTATGCAAGGGCCGTTTAACGGAAAACTCTAACTCCATTTTAAGTAATTGTTTTCCACCTTATTGTTTTGAAAAATCTCATGGCTTTCTTGCAAAGGAAATGACAAACAACTTTGTTTTGTTCACAGAAAACTCTTACAACTCTTCATACGTACATGTTAGAAGATCAGGTGTTGTTGGAACCAGAGGACACAAAGAGATAACATATGTGGACGGCGCCTGGGGTATAATGGAGGAAAAAGCCAGCAGTTGTAACTCAAGTGTATATTTTTGAAATTAAACAGAAAAATACATATTTTTGCAATAGACAAGTTTTCCCGTCTCCGAATGTTTCTTGGTGGAGCTAAGAAATTCACCTTAATCAACAGATGGTGCAATCTCTCCTTTTATTACATTAGACTATCACAAGAGCATTTGTGACAACTTAGAAAATGAAACACTTCTAAAATGAAATACTGAAGAAAAAAAAAAGCACACTAAATTGTTTTATTAATTTTTCTAATAAGAACACTACAATTTTGTCATATTCTTCCGTTTTTGTTTTTACTCTTTCTAGATCAATTCTAAAGTTGAGGTATAAAAGGAGTTCATACAGACTCACAGGTCTGAAAACAGTGGGGTTATATACAAGAGAAATGGAAAGACAGAGGTAGAGAGAGGGGTAAATACAAGGGAAAGAGGGAGATACAAATATACTAATAAAAACAAATGAAGGTTTACAAAGACATTTGGTGCTGTGGAACTAAACCAAATGTTTTAAAATGTTAGTTTACCACAAGATAATTTTTAGAGGTTAAATCTCTGCTGCAAAATGCATGAGTGCACAACGTTTATATATTGACATCAAGTATTTAGGCATTGATGTTCCTGCTGTAATAAAACTCCACAGTGACAAATCATCACTGAGGCAACAAAGGGGAAAATTATAATCCGATTAATTAAAAAGGGATTTTTAAGGTCCAAACAGGAGAAAAAAAAAACAATAGTCCCACAGCACCACATTACATTTGTTCATCCTACACTGCAACTTGGTTATGTAACAAAAAAAAAACTAAAGATTATTCAAAGTCAATACAGAGTTATCATGAAGCCTGTGAAACGGTAGATATCAACCGAACAAAGTTTATAAAAGAAAAAAAGAAAATGTAGTGAAACATTACACAAACTGTACAGTGACATCCATTACAACAAGTAGAAAACAAAAAGGAGGGGTGCGTGATAATTTGGTGCGGCGGCGCCTTTACTCAGGACGCAGCCACAACAAGCTGCTGTGAGTAACAGGAAAAACAGGAAATATGGGATTAAACCTGAGCGATTTTAAAGCTCAGGTTTTGTTCTGTAACATGTTTCAACACTCTTAAGGCTTTCCCTTACTATCAAAATGCTTCGTTATTCACAGAGGTTTTATTGTATAAAACGGTTTCGAGAATGGAAAATCACCAAAATGATGCAGGCTTGTCCTAGATAAAGAGTTTCACTACACCCAGTGCTGCCTCTTTTTTTGGTAACAGAGGAGAGAGAAAAGCCCTTGCCCAATTGGCCATGAGACAAATAAAGAGACAGGGCAGAGCACTTGCTTTCATGCTCATAACAAAAATACAGGTGTTATTACGGCGTTCGCTCCATCCATCATTTATGAAGCCCCATTGAAAAAACGAAAAAGCGTCCAAAAGAGAAACCAACTTGAGGCACAACGACACCAAGAAGACACACGTACAAACAGAATTCCCTCCTCAGATGTAAAAGGCGACTGCGCACCAATATAAAAAAAAAAAAAAACAACAAAAAAACATTATTACATTTCTGAACTTTGTATATTTGGTTTTGGTACAACAATAGGTTGTTAAACATGTTGCCTCAGGCTCACAAGCTTAAATGTTTCAAGACGGGGATGAAAATCTAAGTTGAACCCCCGTCTTGTGTGTCATTAGCAGGTGGAAGCACCCAGTCTACATAATGCTAAAGTTCAAAGGAGCAGCAGCCCATTGGCTGGGATATCCCAGGAACCTTTTACGTCCACACAGACATCAACATGTGATGCACTTTTTTTTTTTTTTTGGTTTTGGTCTGACTGTAATAGTTTTTTTTACCTCTTATTTAACTTTTTTTGTTAATACAAATGAAACTAAAAAAGGAAAAGAAAACAGTATAACACATAGAAGTCCTACATGCATGGAAGACAGTCACATTTCTAAAGTTCATGTCACATTTGTTCCAGTAATACATCGATGCCTCACGATCTTTCCACCCTTTTTGTCATAAAGATGTCATATTGAGCTCGTTTTTGGTGGTGGCTGGTGCATTCTTGGTGAAACAGCATTAGATAATAAAACTACAATCAAACTAGTGGACAGAAAGAAAGAAGAAAAGTCTACAAGCCTTCTACCAACACCCCCTATTGATTAGCAATGGAAAGAGCTATCGGTTACATACGCTCAACCAAAGAGATTTTCCCTTCTCTGACCTTTTCTCTTCACACCAGCCCTACCGTCTTTTATCCTGCCTGTTTTTGAGCAGTGATCCCCTTCGCCATCTTCCTCGAAAGATAGAAATCCATAACAAGGATGCTAACATTTGTGCTTGACACATCTTTTTTCGTCAGCTCACAATGAAAAATAGTTGTTACTTTTGGGGATAACTGCTCGCACATTTGTGCGAACATCGGTTGCTCTTTTTAAAATCCTAACGGAAGGACACACTGATGCAACAGTGTATTGTGTTAAGTAGGCAGAGGGTAATCTCAGAGGAACACTGGGGCAGCACTTTGGTACAAGCAAGGTGAGCAGAGCTCCCTGGTGGTCCGTAACCACAGTTTGGCTGTCAAATGCCAAGGCTTCAGCAGATACGGGCAATTACACACAGTTTCCCAAAGCAAAGAGTTGAGTGTAAAGGTTAAAACAGCACATGAACAAGCCGTGGGAGTACTGTGTAAAGTTAACGTGCATATACACATAATGTACAGACATCATGATAATCTACACAGCTGGATGTGTTTCTCAAAGTCCTTGACAATAAGGATGTTTTCTTAATGTCTCTGAGCTCCATTCCTCTTTTAACTTTTAAAGAGTAGAGAATTGGAATGAAGGTGAAAGGAGAATTTCCTCCCAACTGATGTACAGCTGTCCTGTGGTCCAGAACAACGTGTGTGAATGAAATGTGTATACAAATTTATGTGGCCTGTGAACAGGAAAGTAATGGTTTAAAAAAAAGATTCAGACCACAGTAGGAATGAGAAGGCAGCAGAGAAAGCCGCCACATCAGTTGGAGGTGTCGGAGTGGACGCTGCCAGGTGGACCAGGAGGGGAGGTTACCGAGGGCGGGTTGGTGGTGTCCTGCCAGCTGTTAGCCTGCAATCCGACAGGGAGAGAGGCAGAACAGAAAGGAAGAGTGATGATTATTATTATTTCAGCATCTAATTGCTATTATTTTCTTTTTCTGTTTTCACCGACATGCACTTAGGGCAGCAACTAACAATCATTTTGAAAATCGATTATCTTTTCGCTTAATCGATTAATAAGTTAGCCAAAGGTTTCTTTAAGAAGATTTTTTTACAGAATTAAACCAGGTGAAACTGAAACTTTTTCCACTTGAGCAGTTCTGGATAGAGCATATGAACAGACAAAAACGTTTTTTTCTAACTTAAATGCAAAATGCTTTTTTTAATTACAATTTTAGTATAATTGCTGCTATGTCAGCTAAATGCATTTTTAGAGTCTCTATACTCCAGTTAATGATAAATTGATCGCTACATTAGTTGATTATTTCAATAATTGATTTCTCTGATTAATTGTTTCAGCTCTAAATGCAGCTATAATATTTATGCAGGGTTGGCATCAGAAATAAAAATTTAAGACTATCATAGAAATTTAGGACCTAAATTAATATTGCTAAGCCTACAAGAGGATGACTTTAAGCTATTTGTTTCCAATGTCAACAAAAACAACTGCTACAAAACTGCTAAGTTTCTGGAAAGAAATTGTTTAAAACAGCAGAGATTGTAAGAAAACATAAATCTTGTCAAAATCTTATTAAAATAAATTTCAGCTGCATAACAGCAGCTATAGAAACTTTAAGTACTAACATCCAGGCGATGAGGGGTAAAGAGGCCACTACTTGACAACTCCTCATAGCCGCCCGTCAGGTGTGTAGCACGGTGCAGGGTATCCACCTGTCAAACACAAACAATTTATAAATAAACTAACATTTTAATGACTGACATTTTATTCTGTAATTTCAACAAAATGCAGACGGCATCCACAAACTTCTGCAGAATGCAGAAAAAGCAGTCTACATTACCCACGCCCCCTTTGGATCATACTTTCAACCAGCAATTTTCTACCGTTCGTTTATGGAAGGTCCCATTAAGGGTGTGTTTAAGTTGACCCATCAAAATGACCCCTCTGATCAGCCTGGAGACATGATCACAGACCTATAGTGAACTACTACAAACTAGTAGTCTTTGATTCTCCAGCCTGTATAAAAGCATTACAGCAGAAATCTGTGGATTTTAAACACAGCAAAAAACACTCCAACTTGCAATAAATAATCACCAATTACAGAAACATTTTAACCCTTACTACACAGATAAGGGGGTAATACACAATGTTTGGATCTGCACAGGAACACGAGGACTCGCATGGACAGAAATGTTTGATACCTTTGGAAATAGAGGACAACCAAAAGGCAAAAAAACTGACCATTGATCAAAGAGATTATTGGTTTGAGCTCGATGTCTGACGAGGTTAAGAACTCTGATAGCCTTTGATAGCTTTTGACATAAATTCAAATCAAATGCAAGATAAAAAAATCAAAAAATCCAACTGTCCAATATTCCAATGTTCTCAACAGAAAGAATGGTCAGTTTGCACTATGGGGGGGGGCAGGAACAGGTGGTAATAAAGTCAGGACAGGATCTGACAAAAGGTCCAAAAGGGGAGTTACGCTACAAGGAAAAATTACAAGGATGCTCTATGGACGGTTTACACCACGGGGATCAATTCTATTCACTCTGCAGTCGTCCTCTTTTCATACCTGCAGATGTAGAGAGGGGGTAAAGTTGAGACCCTCACCATTGAGGGAGCGTTGGCCAAGGTAGGTATCACCTGCACGAGAAAAGCTTTTTGACCCTGGTGACCCTTAAGGAAATATATGCGTATGTGTAGCTGGCTTGACCTGCACTATTCATCCATGCACACTTGAAACCGGATTGATTAACACACCATATGCATGTTTCCTGTTTTTAGTCAACTTGGACTACAAAAAGAAAATTTTTTTTTTTTTTTTTTTTTTTAAATGTCTTAACTGCCTGAGATTTTCATTGAAAGATAAAAACACATAAGACAAGATATCATGAAGAAAAGGACATCAGCATATCTGGTTCATGCTTGGCTGTAATTTTCAGATTCCTGACTGTGTCCTGACTGGCTGTTTGACAATCATATGCAGGTATAGATTGTATGGGCATGCCCTGCTAAGGTAGCATAGAGGAAGTTTCTGATGTTTGCTGATCTACTAATAGAGTAGAATAAGTCCTGAATGGTCAGTCAGAAGAAACTCATTACTAAAAGCGATATAATAAACCAGATTTCCATTTCAAAATAGTACATGAACAAAGTGCTTACTTTTTAGGGACATCCTATGTAGTTTGAATAAACTAAATATTTATGTGCTTGGTTTTAAGGACCATTTCTATGCAGGCAGAGGGGAGGGGATTACTGGTTGTGCAGCTCTTTTTTCTCTGCATGAGGTGTTGGTGCAATCCAAAAACCAGATGCCATCATGAGGAAGGGACCATGTGGAAATATTCAGGCAACACCTTAAGACATAACCACTAAGCTGAAGCTTAGGTGACTAATAATGCTGCCAAGTTAGTTAAAAGACAACACAGTATACATTTTGGAGAAGCCCGGATCCATCTATGAAATAAATAGTCAGCAGAGCTAAAAAGGTGGTGTACAAATACCATTACTGTAAATTTAGCAAAGTCCTATGAGACTGCTTGTGGAAAAATACCAAATGCATTTGACCATAGCGGTGTAGTTGTAAAGATGTTGTAAACATTTTGAATTGGAGGAGCTTATCTGGTTCATTGGTCAGATAAGGTCAGTAAACCACCACCTTACAACAATGGTTTGTTTACTGGATGTTGCAAGAGGAGATATTGTGAGACTTTTCACATTGAGAGGGTTTGAGGGTTAAAGCATGCCGCCAAAACATTCCTGTTCAGTTTGCAGCAAGTGCTGTAATCAGATTTTACTAGATTTTAATCAGTTCCATCAGAAAGGAAGTCTTGTTGTGACTCACGTTGGAAAAACTATTACCAAAACATCTGTGATGAATACCCTGATCCTCCATGGAAACCATGTCCATCTTTACAACTCAACCTGAACAGAAGTCTGCTGAACATAAAAAAACAGCTAGAACATTAAATTACATTAATCCCTGTAAAGATCCACCAACTGAACGAGATACATTACTAGTTGGAAATGGTGTAAACAGAAATTTAAGCAAAATGTCAGGACTTGGGTATTTCATCAGAGACACAAAACGGTTGAAAACGAAAGCAAACTTCAGGTCAGCTTTAAACAAAAGTTAAAAAGCTAGAAAAGTCTCAATGGGTCATTTATAAGCACATCTAGAAATTAGGAGAGATTAGGTCAATACCTGAGTTGGGTGTTGCTGGAGAGTTGGCCTGACTGGCTTGCGCTGACACATTTGCAGCATCCACCGCCGTTTTAACTGCGTACAGGTTCGCTTCTTCTTGGAACTTACCGATGTTCTTCTTATAGCGTATTCTCTTGTTGCCAAACCAATTAGACACCTGAAGAAAAGATGGATTTAATACTGAATAAACATTTATTAAGCCTCAGCATCCCTCTGAGGTTGAGGACAAACAGCATATTTAACTGAATATGGCAATAATGAAGCTAATAGTTTTAGCTTCTTAAGAACTATTTTCTTTCCCTTTAACATTTTGAACATTAGCTAACCAAGCCATTCACCTGAGACACAGTTATCCCACACTTTTTGGCCAGTTCCTCCTTTGCTTCCTCACTAGGGTAGGGGTTAGACAAGTGGGAGTAGAAATACTCGTTCAGCACTTCTGTTGCTTGCTTGTTGAAGTTGCGCCTCTTACGTCTGAAACGCACAAAAGATGTAATGAACAGGCTGGAGTAGGTATTTGCAGCGCATTGATTCATTGACAAAGTATCTTTGCATATGAATACAGTAAAAGTACTGCCAACACACAAAGACAGACCTGGCATCGAGGAAGCGTGAGCGTAAAATCATAACCGCCTCACAGGTGCTCTGTTTGAGCTGCATCTGAATGGAGCTAAATTTACGGTGGATTATGGCCACCATGCGTTCAATCTCCTTGGGAGAGATGGGCCGTGTGCGAGACTGCTCCCTCAGCAGGTTCATTACATGGTTGGTGAACTCGCTGCAGGCCTGGGAAAAAAAAAAGACAGACAGACAGGAGTTAAGTGCTGCTGTTAAAAGATGGGATATATGTGGTACCATGTGTTGCTAAACAGTGCTGATTTGCTGATTAGAGTTGCACTCATCAGATGACTTCATTTCATTAGTAAGTTTCTAGTAACATTTCGGCAGCAATAATATAGGGTGCTGCTATGGCATGGAGGTAGAACGCATGACCATCGCAGTTTCGGGTCCCGGTCCTGCTGATCTTTGCTGAATGTGACCTTCTAACCCACTTACCTGTCTCCATACTTTCCTAAATGACAAAATAAAGGCCACCAAGGTCTTAAAAAAAAAAGAAGTAACAATAATATCTGTTGTTTTAAATCTTTAACTGGGCTTATAAAGGGAATTTATTTTTTCTATCTTGAGGAAAACACTGAAGATTGATTTGTATATAAAACAGAGACAATATGGATGCTATTAATGCAAAGGAAGCAGTTATTTTTCTCTTGTTTACTAAAGCAGCGATCTGAGCCAATCAAACAACAGTGGCCAACTCCTGCTTCTGATTATTTGAACGATGCCTCTAGTTAGGGCTGGGCAATAAGATGATACATATCGTACAGAAAAGTCTCTGTAAGTGCTAAATCTATTCTATCCTTTCTAACACCATTTTATTTTGTATTCAAGCAAATATACTTTTTTTTTTGTCCACAAAGAAGTGCTGGCTTGCGGTTTTGTAACAGGCCAAAGCTTTATGGCTTCTGACTAAGCTACAGGTTTGTAACATCCTTTACATTACTTAACTCATGAGAGCTGATAGATGCAGACGCAGGAGGCTGAAGTTTTAAACCAATGGATGCAACAAACAGAAACAGCTATGCAGGCAGACCAAGATGAAGAACTTTTACCAAAAAGAGGGGTACGTCTGATTTGGTTACATTTAGGTGTCAAGAAGTCGGACACAGAGCAGAAAAAGGTCATTTGCAAACTATGCTACAAGACTGTTCCCTCACCTAAAGAAGAACCACGAGGTTCAAAAATGCGAGGTTAAGCAAGTTGTGAAATAGTGGGAGGAAGTTGCAAAAATATAATCTATAGCCTGTCGAGGATAATGGAGTCGTTAGCCCGATGCACCCCGTATGAGAAAACTTCTCAGCGCCGTAAAAAAATTACAGTTGCCATCGCACATTACATGTGTAAAGACAAGCTTCCAAGACCTTATTAAAGTCCTTGACCCGAGGTACTGTATACCCAGTCATAAGCACTTCAGTCTCACTTTAATTTATTCATTTTGGTAATTCCATTTAAATACATATAGTATTTTGAAAAAGAATGTGAAGGCTACGGTAGCGCCACCACCGCCTCATCTTTTGGCATCTGATGCATAGATATCGCAGCAATACACTTTATTTTGCTCATTTGTGAGAGTTCTTTAAATGTCATTTCAAAATAAAGTTAAACAAAAAAGTAAGCAATTATATTGTTGTGTCATATTTTTCAGAGATCAGCTGAAAAAGTACTTAATTGGGGCATATCTCAATATATAAAGTTATTGTGATATAAAATAGTCCATATCATGGACATGTCATGTCATATATGATTTTTTTTCCATATCACCAAGCAATACCTCTAGTAATAGCTATAAACAACAGAAATTGCAGTAGTTAAGATTCCTGAAAAATAATAACCATCCATGTGATAGAAAAGTATCTAAGATTTTTTTTGTTTCCCATTATAAAACTTATTTCTTTCCTATTAATATCTTTATTTTGTTCAGTATTTACCAAATGAGGATTAAGATAAGCCCAATGTCAACATTTAATTTTGATCAGAACAAACCTGTTCATATTTCTCCAGCTCTGAATGATATATCTGACGGATTTGGGCAAGTTTGGCTCTGTAGTCGGAGTGTTCAATGCTGCTGTCGGTAGGTGAGCCCCCTGCTGCGGCTGCAGCTGCGGCTGCTGCAGCCGATCCTCCGCCTTTCTCTGGGCCTGAAACTCCCTCTGCAAGCAACATGTTGTCCAACCTCATAATTTGGGGGTCTGGAGGGTCTTCTTCCTGCACACCTCGTATACTCAGGACTGGTGGAAAAAAAGAAGAAAGGACAAACAAATCAGCTATAAATCTAAGGAAATACTCTTAACAGTGTATCTACTAAAGCTTCACCGTTAAGAAAAAAGAAAAAACAGCAAAACTCATCATCCAAGTCCATTTTCTGTTTAAGGTGAATTTCTTCTAAATGAACAGCAGAGGGCAGTATGGTCTCTCCGTGGCAGGCTGCCAGAGATAAGGGCATGAGGCATGAGGCCAGTAATAGAAGTGCATGTGCTGTCACTATGAGCCCCAGTGGCCATAAGTATAGTTATCAGTTGCTGCTCTCCACCACTGTATTATACCAGGACCTCTGTCAGCCTACAGCCTCGCTCTCATCTCTCTCTCTCACACACATACATTTACAGACACATACACACTCACCCTTCTAGACACCACTCTGTTACTCAGGTTTTAACTTCAGACAACCCTTTCTCAGGACCTGCAGCCTTTTACACTTCACTAAATTTCCCTTCGCCTCTATTGCTTTTCTATCATTCAACTTCAGAAAGTAAAAGAAGCTTCTAACACAGTTTAAGTCCCTCACCTTAAAACAAAAGTTTAGAGAATTAGAACATGGAAAATTATAAAAGGATCCTTATGTATATGTTTGGATCCCTTTTAAAAAATTGTACGTTGGCTGTTTAAAATATTCACGAGTTTAGTAATTTTTCTTTTTCAATATTTTGGTCCAACTGGCATAAATACAAAATAATGTTTGTAACATATTTTGTTTTATAGGATAAATACAGGTTCAACATGTGTTCACAGACTTGATTTCCTTTAACAGGACACTAGATTCAGGAGACTAAGTGAGAACCAGAGCAAGACAGATCCAAACAGTATGGATTAAAATAACGGCCATGAATAATCCAGCTACTATGGTTGTTGTATAAGGCAAACTTTCCCTTTAAGGTTATTCGCATTTGTCACTTCTCAGTGATTTCTAAACTTATGAGTTCATTTTAGAGTGAAATTAGTATCTCTTTCAAAATGTCTGCTGCATTGTAGAGTTTAATGGTTGCATTTCTTCAAAGTTATTTAAAATCATATGTCACGTGAAGCGATCAAGGAGGGCCCATAGGAACAGTGGGTTTTAGTGCAACATTTTCTTTTTTCTCCAAGTTATTTTAGTAAGTCTTTTCCAGCATGGTACCAGGCTCACCTTAGCCTCTTTCCTCCTGTTTTTTATTGTTTCTGCTTGCCTTTCTCTCTACCTTATGTTTCTTCTCCACCAAAGGCACATTCCTGCTGTGCTGTGTTGCTCCCCCATCTCAGGGCTTAGGAATGCAGCAGACCAAGTTGCCTGAACTAATGACCCTGATTCGCCCATCTCTTTCCCTCCTTTTTGCTCTCTCTCCCCCTTTTAAAAAAAAACACAAATGATCTCTGCACTCTTTAGATAGAAAACCAACAGCCTTTTAAATTTGATTGTCAAAGACCAATAATACTCGTCTACTTAAAACTTTGTTGTGGTTGGAGTTTGAAGAAAACTGACAAGGTTTGTCAAGTAGTTTATATTTTTAATTTTACTGCCAATCCACTGAGAAATACAATGACCCACCGACAAGAGGGCAACTGCTGCTCTTGGAGCTTCTCACCTCAACCCCCCCACCTCCTTTTTACTGTGACTCATTATGGCCCCCAGCTGTAGCCTAATGCCCCAACATTCCCCTAATTACTCCAATTAAGCCGTGATTACCCAGAATTGCACTCATGAACAATCTAGTGGCCTAGTGATATCACAGCAGCTGTTGAGATGAGTAAAAATAGAGCCCAAATCAAACCCATGAGATATATGTAAAAAACTCCACTGTCACCAAAAAGCAAAATGACTATTTCCACAAGCTGAAAATATCATTAGAACTAAATATTTCTAATAATGTTTTTGTCCCTAAAACCGAAGAGCTGAAAGCACCAACATGTTAATATTTTCTGATACAACAGGACAGGCAACAGCCAACATCCATAGCTTTTAGAAATAACCATTATGCATATGTTACAAGCCTAGCTGGGCGGTGTGGCATTGGAAGACTAAGCGAGCAACACATACTATGAAATATTCAGGGTATCCAGCTGGGCTCTCTCTGCATACATAATCATTCTCATTTCTGCACAGCCAAAGTAGAAATATTGTGCCGTGCAGATACAACACACAAAATAATAATACAAAAAAAGTGGTGCAGGTAAAGGTGAACAACTCTGCCAACAGTGGTAGTGCTGTACATTAACTGCAATGCTTTCCCTACATAGGCATAGATAAGGCTTAAACGCCGTCAGTATATCATTGCTCAGCTCAGAGCACAAGCTTTATCCTTGTCTGTCTTTTCCCTCGCTAGCATCCCCTTTTTCACTCCGTCTCCCCCAACACACATCCCCTCCCCCTTCTCCCTTTCAACGCAGCCCTACTACACAAGCACACACACACACACACACACATCTCCCCCTGTGCCCCCCACCCCCACCCCCTGTTCTCCATTTCAGTCGAGTTCTCCATGTGAGCCGCAATCCCTCATGCTGTCAGCCCCCCCTTTCCCTCTCTCTGTAGACAGACAGGATTAGCATTTTAATTGCATCAGCTCCCTTGGGTATTCTCAGCCTTTCACTGGGAGAGAGCAAGGGATCTAGAGAGAGAGAAGTAAAAAAAAAAAGGGGGAAAAAGGTAAGGAGAGGGAGGGTAGAAGGAGAACCAAGGAGAATTGAAAAAGGAGTCACAGAAGAAGATATGTGTTCAGGGAAGAAAGGGACTGAGAAAGAGGGGCAACAGAACTACACTAAATCTCGAGTACAGATGCACCAGAGAGCAGAACTGGTGAAAAAGAAACCATAGTGAACACCTCGGGTTGTCCCATGCACTACAAACAACTTGGATACAAGAAAACGTATAATTACTGTTAAACTATTAAATATATGCAACTCAAATAAGCAAATAAATTCTTAGAAACTGAAGAAATTACAACATATGAATATATTTTTAAGGAATAAATAGCGCTTCATAAAAAAAAAAAACAACAGGGTTAGATTTGAAAACAAGTTCCAGAGTGGAAGTATTCAAAAACCTTCCTGGCTCATTTTTACACAGTAAAAACAATCTGCCGTAGGGGGGGAGCCCCTGCACATGTATGTGCAGTATGACTCATTAATGAGGCATTTTTAAGCAGGGAGTGTTGGTAAATATGGGGATGTTGGAGAGTTTCAAAAATATACTGCCAACTAGTGGTGTGGTTTACTAGTTGAGTAAATTCAGTTTGCAAGTAAAATGATCTAATGTAAATGCACAAAGAAAAATAATCCTATTTCAAATGTATTGTTGCTTTGTGCATTGGTACTAAGATACCCTTTTAACCATCTCCATGCTTTTTGTTAAGAGAGGTGATGCAATGAGGGGGGTTGAAGTCTGCCTGCCCTGCAGGCTCAGTTAAAGCCACATTTCCGGATATCTTGCAGGACTCTGATGTGGTGCAAGCCTGAACTAGAGCTGTAGGTGTTTATATTTGAAGCTGCTACAGTACTTTTTCAAAAGCACAGGAAAAATGTACCAAAAAGATAAACGCATTACACAAAACCCGGCTTTAGAAACATATATTTTATTTATTCTGCAAAGACATTTTGTAAAAAGCACCATGATCTAAAATGTCTTCTTTTTCTGGAGTATTTAGCAGCATTTTAAGTGTAAACAAAGCTTAGCAATACCATATACAGCGCAACAGAATTGGTACAAGTTTGTCTGGAATTATTTTAAAAAAATAAATGGTATGCAACTTTGGACCAGATGCTGCATCACACCGACTATCGTTTTGAGCTGTGGATTTTATTTCTTAAAGCCCAGAGATGTTAAGAATACGGCCATCACCACTTAGAATTCACGCATAGCCGAAAACAGCATAAAGTTGGCGAATTTGTTTAATACTTTGGAAGGAAAGCTTGTTTTTGAAACAGGCTTAACTGAGTCAAACTTTTATTCATATCATTTTTGTGCAGATGTTTATATATCTTATGCTAATATCTGAATGTAAGCAAACATACAAACATGTTAAAATAGTAAAGAATCTCTGACTCTTAACACATAAAAATGGTACAAGAGTAGCCTTCTTATCCGAATTTCCTGCTACTTTGTTTCCTCTCCAAAAAGGCAGTATTTTTGTTAAGTACTGTCAACTTAATGAGCCCAATCCATATGCTCGTTCCTGCTTTAAGCAGCTCACACTAATCAGCATCTGTTTGGGTAGTTCACCAGAGTCCTGTTGCACACAGCCCCCCACTATGACATACACACACCCACACAAACACAGAGAGAGGTACGGATTGAGAGTAAACACTGTGTGGTCTGACTGAAGTGTAAATGGGAGAAGTCACACCTTAGGCAAACACAACACTTCAATCCAGCACATCATTAGTAAGCCATTAATTAACCAAAGTGAGCGTGGGACACTTAGGCATTATTAAAAAACACAAACAAACACAAGGTGTGAAAAACAACAACTATTTAAATGAAACAGAAAAAAAAAACTATCAAACTTTCCGCTTACCTTCTCCTTGCAAACAACATTTTCTCATAGAATTACGAAGCATATTTGTTTAGGATTCACAAACACTCTTTAAAAAACACAAATAATAAGCCTGTAGGATCTAATTTCATTTCTTTTGCATACAATTAAAATCATGACACAACCCTACGTGTTCAAGTGAAAGGAAGAAGAGAAGTTCAAACTGTTTAAATGTCAATATCATTAATTGCCAGAACTCTTACTGTGGTTTGCCATGATTTTTTGCTTTATTTCTAGAGAATTTTGAGAAGTTTGTAACCAGACAGTAAAAATTAACCATCTGCTATGTATTGTATGAAAATTCAAGAATAACTCATTAACAAAACTTCTCAAACAAAATCAGCAAATTTTTATCCACTGTTATGCAGCTACTAACATGACATTATCAGTAAAGTACATTTCAGAGCACAGAGAGAAGAAAAGACACGAAGAAAGAATTGAAA